ATTTTGGGCACACATGCACACATGCCCGGCATGTTTGAAGCCACCATCTGAGACTCAAACTGCGGTCAACTATGTGGGAGTCCAGTCATGTAACCATTATGTTACATCTGCTGGTCCTACCCAGTGTGAGTTTTAAGCCACTGGGTCCAGGACTTGAACCACTGTCAACTACATGGGAGTCCAGCAACATAACCATTATGCCATCTGCTGTCCCTAGAGTTTTTCTTAATAATTAGGGAAAGCTAAACATTGAATTGATTATATGGGTGAAAAAAATTGATTTACCCTAGGCCTTAGTTGTATCCTGTATTAGTTTTTTTCATTTTGTTCTTTTAATGATAGTACATGTGCATGCATGCACATGTTATAGAGAAGAAAAAGACACTCTCAACAGGGTCTAATCATGCCATAATCCCTTTTCCCCTGTCTTCCAGTTCCTCAGGATCCTGGGTGCCCACGTGTGCACCCAGTGTGTTTGCAGGCCGACCTGGGGTACTGAACCCCATGGCCAGCCAGATGGCAATTTCAGGGTACTGCATCACAGCAGCTGAGCTTCTCTATTAGTGTTTTTTTTTTTTTCTTTTAAAAAAATTTATTTTTTAGAGAGAGATTTTTTTTTTTTTTGGAGAGATTTTCGCTATAGGGCATGTGCGCTCGCCAGACAGACAGAGGGAGACAGACAGAAAGCGAGAAATCACCCCCTGGGGGGATGGCCACACCGCAATCCCTTCTCCTCCATTCTCCTCTCGGGATCTTATCTTGGGCACGCACACACACGCGCCCGGTGTGAGTTTTAAGCCACTGGGTCCGGGAAGTGAACCACGGTCAATTACGTGGGAGTCCAGCAACATAGCCATTACGCTAACTGCTGGTTCCCTGAGAGAGATTTTTACTACAGGGTGTGTGAGGGAGAGAGAGATAGACAGAAAGCAAGAACTCACTCCCCTGGGGGACAGCCACACTGCAGTCCGTCCTCCTCTATTCTCCTCTTGGGATCTTGGGCATGCATGCGCATGGACCCAGCGTGAGTTTTAAGTTGCCAGGTCCAGGATTTGAACCACAGTCGACTACATAGGAGTCCAGTGATGTAACCATTACGTCACCTGCTGTTCCCCTCTGTTAGTGTTTTACCTTATTGAGGAGATAAATTCTGATTTTGGATACTTTCTTGGATTACTTTGAGCATTCTGTATCTTGACTTTGTAAAATGAAAGAATGTTTCAACAATACTATGTCTTATAAAAATCTTTTAATAATTATTTAATTTTATTTATCATCATCATCATTATTATTATTATTTAATTTGTTATAGGACATATGTGCTCACCAGAGAGAGAGAGAGGGAACATGAGAAAGCAAGCCTCCTGGTCAGGACTCGAACCACATGGCCGTGTGGGGGAGTCCATCTTTTTAGCCACCTCAACGCCTGCTGTCCCCACAAAGTTTTTTTAAGTATAGTTGTTATTATTTCTTAATTTAGTTTTTATCATTCTGACAGAGCTCAATTTCAAAAAGTATCTTTTTATTTTAAATATTTAATCTATGTTAATTGACATAGATTTACTTCTTAAATACCACGGTACTGTAGTTTGTAATAGTCTATAGTAATGCCAAATCTTATCTCTTATTTCTCTATTTTATAACCAAAAAGGATACAAATAACAAAAAGGAATAGTTTAGCATTTAAGATAGTCTTTGTTATTAGACTTCCTAATATGAAATGAATTTGCCGTTTGCAAGTATTCTGATCATCTTGGACAGCTGTGTTTGAGTCATCTTCGAAATCTTCAGCACTGTCAACTTTTACTGTGGCCCCTATAAAAGTTTAATGGAAAATTCCACCTTATTACTAGGGAAACTACTTGAAAAATATAAAGAGCTTTTAGAAAAATCATTGTGATGCTTGACTCAGAGGTAAGGTAATTTTTTAAAGGTGTTTATTATTATTGTATCTATAGTAAGTCCATGAAATTTAAAATGAGGATTTCTGTGGTTTTAAATAATACCAAATTGGCATTCTTTATAGTCTTAGGCAATGCACTTTAAACTTAGAGGAGTGAATTAGGGTGTAGGCAAATAGTCACATATGTAGTCAACTCTATAAATTTTTTTCTTTTCTTTTTTTTTTTTTGGAGAGGTTTTTGCTATAGGGCACATGCACTCACCAGAAAGACAGAGACATAGAGACAGAAATCGAGAAATCACCCCCCCGGGGGGGATGGCCACGCCGCAATACCTTCTCTTCCATTCTCCTCTCAGGATCTTGGGCATGCATGCACACGCGCCCGGCGTGAGCTTAAGCCACTGGGTCCGGGACTTGAACTACGGTCGACTACATGGGCCTTCAGTGACATAGCCATTACGCTAACTGCTGGTTCCTCAGCTCTAAATTTTGTAACATATTAATGAATTTTTCATCCCAAACTGCCTCTCCTTTGCCACCAGCCAGATTCTATATCAGACAATATACAGCTCTCAATCCATGGGATGAGAATTTTTTTCCATATTTAATTAAATGTAGAAATAATGAAGAAAAGTTCATTTTATGCAGAAGGATGCTTTCCTAAGTCAAATGTCATTATTTAAATGACTACTTGAATACTTTGTTTCCTTTGACATTGCTTCTCTTATAGTACTCTGCTAACTAGTAGCTTGGCACCCTCAGGCTCTCAGTAAATGATCTTTAGTGACACGATCAAGAGTTGGTTCATTTTTCAGGAATTGGAGAAAGAGCAAAGTGCCTTGGCAGCTTTTGACTTGATACCAGATACTTTTTTACATGGTTCGTGTTTTTCCTCTTTTTTTTAAAAAGCATATCCTGTCTATAACTAACAGCATACTCTTACTTTAGAGCAATTATAGTGTGTTTTTAATTGGACCTCTAAGAATTTACTTACTGGTTATACTGGTAGTGGCCATCTTTTCCTGGCAATGGTAGGTCTTAGCTATTGAATTTTGAGCACTTACTAAATACTATGCTGTGCTGCTGAGCTTTTTTTTTTTTTTTTTTTTTAATGCATGCACTCACCAGTGAGAGACAGGGAGAGGTGGAAAGAGAGGGAAAGTGAGAAATCATCCCCAGCCCGCAGAGGCATGGCCATACCACACAGTCCCTTCTGCTCCATTCTCCTTTTGGGGTTCAAGCCACAGGGTCCAACCACGAAGTTGGCCATGTGGGATCTAGCTGTCTTAACTTCCTCACTGTTGGCCTTGTTGCTGAGCTCTTAATCATATTATTTTATCCTCAGTATAATCTGCAAGATTAATACAGACTAATTATCTTCCAAAATGTTTGAGACTAGGATTATTTCAGATTTCACCGGTTTTTTGTCTGTTTGTTTATCTAGAATGTTTGCACATATATAATGAGGTACCTAAGGCAAGGATTTCAGGTCTGAATGTGAAATTCATTTATGTTTTATGTACACCTGATCCATGTAGCCTGAAGGTCATTTTATTACAGTGACTTGACTGCTACTCCTCATGAGATCAGGCGTGGAATTTTCTATTTGTGGCGTTGTGTTGGTGCTTAACGTGTTTTGAATTTTGGAGCATTTTTTTTCTTAAACAATTATTTTATTTAACTTTATTATTATTATCATCAAGCCCCATAACCTATTTTTTTTTTCTTTTTTGAGTTTTCCCACAGAGTGCATGCACTCACCAGTGAGAGACAGGGAGAGGTGGAAAGAGAGGGAAAGTGAGAAATCATCCCCAGCCCGCAGAGGCATGGCCATACCACACAGTCCCTTCTGCTCCATTCTCCTTTTGGGGTTCAAGCCACAGGGTCCAACCACGAAGTTGGCCATGTGGGATCTAGCTGTCTTAACTTCCTCACTGTTGGCCTTGTTGCTGAGCTCTTAATCATATTATTTTATCCTCAGTATAATCTGCAAGATTAATACAGACTAATTATCTTCCAAAATGTTTGAGACTAGGATTATTTCAGATTTCACCGGTTTTTTGTCTGTTTGTTTATCTAGAATGTTTGCACATATATAATGAGGTACCTAAGGCAAGGATTTCAGGTCTGAATGTGAAATTCATTTATGTTTTATGTACACCTGATCCATGTAGCCTGAAGGTCATTTTATTACAGTGACTTGACTGCTACTCCTCATGAGATCAGGCGTGGAATTTTCTATTTGTGGCGTTGTGTTGGTGCTTAACGTGTTTTGAATTTTGGAGCATTTTTTTTCTTAAACAATTATTTTATTTAACTTTATTATTATTATCATTATTATTTTCCAGTTTGATCAGAGAGAGACACAGAGAGAGGAAGTGAGAAAGCAAACCACCAGGTGCGAGACTTGAACCGTGGTTGGCCATGTGGGAGTCCAGTGCCTTTAACCACCATGCCACTTGCCGGCCCCAAATTTTGGAGTATTTTGTGTTCTGAGTCTTTGGATTAAGGATGCTTCACCTGCACCATTATCCCACTTAACATATGAGGAAACTGAATTTTTGAGTAGTAAAGTAACTCGCCCAGTTACACAGCCAGTAAGAGGCTGTCTGGATTTCAGAGATTAGACTCTTAACCCTACTCACTCTTACCAAGTATTTATCATCTGCACCACTACTGCTAGCACTTGTGCGCTTTTCAAACTCTGTTCCTTGCTGATTAGGAGCCAGGTGGGCCCAGCTGCAGTGGCGGTGCAGCACTGGGCAGGACCGTGGGACACACCGAAGATCGCGGTGTGTGCCGGTGCACGTGCATGCCCTGCTCCTGGAGGGCGGGTGGGGAGTGGAGGGCAGTGTGACACCCTGTTGGGGAAAAGCATTTTTCCCTCTCATGAAAAAAAATTGATAGATAACCCGTCAAAAAAGGAGAGCAGATATGGGTGTGTAAAGGAGGAAACTGTGTTTATCTCTGACAAATTATAAGCACCTTAAGAAAGGAAACTCCTTCATTGCAAGTCTTGTTTTGGCCCCCCAGGCCCATATTCTTTAGAACGCTCAGGATCTGCCTATTTCTCTGAATGAGCTTCTCTTTTGTGCAGGTGAGAGAGCAGTACCACTCTTCACCTCTCAGAGCTCAGCCGCCAAGATGTCCGTGACGCTGCCCGCGGTGAACCTGGAGGATTGCTCTCAGTCTCTGAGTGTCAGCTCGAAGCAGGGGGACACGGAGTCCTCGGGGCCAGATACCTTCTGAACACCGCCAGCACAATGGCTGTGCTACTGGTTTCCAAGTCATTTTATTTTGACTTAAAACTATCTCACAGTCTATTTTGGTCTTTGGACATATTCTACAAAACTTTTTCTAATTTTTTCTTAAAATGAAAAGCATAATTTGGGTATTTAGGTAAAGTTTTTAAATAAAATAAATATAAGCCATCATGACTCTGACTGTGAGTTTTTTCTTAAGAAGCCTGAGATAGTACAGAATCATGGAAAGAGCATGGCTCTTTACGCTTAAGAGTTTATTCTAGGGAGCCAGCAGGTGGCATAGTAGTTAAGGGTGCTGGATTCCCACATGGCCGACCATGGTTTGAGTCCTGGACCTGGTGACTTGCTTTTTCACTTTCTCTCTCTCTCTCTCGACCCACCCCCTCACTTTGTCCCTCTCTGGTCAAATTTAAATAAATAAATAAAGTTAAATCAAATAATTCTTTAAAAAAAATGAATTTATTCTAGGGCCAGCACCATGGCCTCATGGTTAAAGAAGCTAAATACCACGTGGCCAACTACAGTTCAAATCCCAGCCATTGTGGCTTGAAAAACACACTGGGCACATGTGCGTGTGTGCCCCAAATCCCAACAGGATGGCAATATGGAAGAGAAAGATTGTGGAGTTGGAGGTGCTTTCTTTTTTCTCCCTCTCTCTGGCAAGTGCACATGCCCTGTAACAATTAAAACATTTTTCATTTTACAGCTGTAACTATTTGTACATGCTTATGAAACTGTGTAGCTCAAGGTTATTAATTCCCACAGTTTTTATAACAGCAAATAATTGGAAGCAATCTAATGCCTATCAATAAGGCACTTGTTTAAAAAACTGATGGTATGTCCTACTATGGAATACAATGTGATACAAAATAAAAGTTTTATGTATTGATATGGAATTACCTCTGAGATACACTATCTTTTTTTTTTTTGGAGAGGTTTTAGTTATAGGGCAGGGGCCCTCCCCAGACACAGACAGAAAGCGAGAAATCACCCCCCAGGGGGGATAGTCATGCCGCAATCCCTTCTCCTCCATTCTCCTCTCGGGATCTTGGGCACGCACGCACACACACCCGGCGTGAGTTTTAAGCCACCGGGGGCGGGGCTCGAACCGTGGTCAACTACATGGGAGTCGAGCAACATAGCCATTACGCTAACTGCTCGTCCCCCTGAGATACACTATCAAAGTAAAAAACAAAAACAAAAACTAGTGCCAGAGTGTATGATCCATACTACTGTTGTTTAAAATGGGTTGGGAAGGAATTCAAATATATGATATGTACACATATATACACTTACATGTATTGACTTCCACAGGCATTAAATATCTTTGGAAGGGTAAAGAAGAAACTGTTAATGTCATCTCCAGGGAGGGGACCCAAGGCCTTGGTGATAGAAGCAAGTGATAGGAGTCCAGGATGACTGTAGTTACTATGTATTCAAACCTTGCAACAGGAAAAATGTTTGAGATTAGTTTTGTTTAAGATGTCTTATCGCCCTTTATATTTTATAAACCTGTAAAATATGTCTCTATATTACTTTTTGAAATAAAGAATACATAAAGTTTTTAAAACAGCATCAGGCACATATAGGTTCTAATTCAGCTTTGACACCTAATTGCTGACTATGATGGGGGACAGATAAGCCCCCCCCCCTTGTCTTCCGATTAATGGGCTTAACGTTTGTTTTGTAGAATAATGGGGGATTAGTGGAGGGGTCTGGTCAGTGGGGTGGTGTAAGGGCATTGCTCAGCACGGTGTTGCCTGGCCCCAGGTAAGTGGTCAGTAAATAGTGGTGTCATTATCATTATCTTGAGGAATTTTCAGCGTCATACAGTAGAGGGTAAGCACATGCGAAGGGCAGCCTAGCATTAGCAAAAAAGTTTATCTCCTTGAAAATTATTTTCTGTCCCAACTAACATTCAAACCCCCAGTAATGACAGCCGTTGACTTCTCAGCATTTTTCCAGGTTACTTACTGGGTCTCAGCTTTTGCTGCACATTAGAACCTCTGGGAGCTTTAAAAAACCCTAATGCCTGGGCTTCATACCAGGGATTCTGATTTAGTTGACCTTGGGTAGAGTCCAGGCACTGGTTATTAAAAAAGAAAAAAGACCACCTTCTTAGGTGATTTTATTGTGTACTTAAGGTTGAGAATTACTGACGAGCAATTTAGAATTCCTTAAACATGCAGTAGGGCCATTGGCTGGGGATTTCTCGTCTGAAGGTAGACGCTGCAAGAACCTATGGAAACTCCGATGCGTGTCAGCCTTCCACATGCATTTCCTCTTAGGTCATAGCTTCTCCAACTTTTTGGGAATTCGGTTACTGAAATGCTTTATGTTTCACTTTCGAACCTGAGTACTTAGCTGTGCCCTTTCAGTTTTAACAATTCTTGCTTTTAAACAGATGGAAGAAAAATGCTGCTCTGTGGATTCTGTTTTGTTTTCGATGTTCTTCTATGTCTTCTTGTAGGGTGAATGCTGGGGAGACATTTCTTAGTGCTGCTTCCTTTTGGATCTTATCTCCTTTGGTTTCTATTTTTCAAAACTTTTCTGCTGGAGAAAAATTTTAGCGAAATCTTATTTTAGCTAAAACCTTTTTTTATTTGAAGATGTTGGTAGTTTTGGCCTAGTCATAGAAAGCCTGCCTTTTAAACCAAGGCTGACCTTGTAGTTCAGGTCCTGAACCCAGTGACTTGAGAAACACTCTGGGCATTTGTGCATACATGCCCAAGATTCCAAAAGGAGGGAGAGATGGCAGAAATGGGATTGTGGAGAGACCATGCCCCAAGGTGGGTACTTTCTTGCTTTCTTTCTCTCTTTCTGTCTGTCTCAAGCAAGTGCACACGCCCTCTGGCAATTTTATTTTTAATGTAATCTTTGCTTTATCTAACTCTTTGTGAACTTGTGCTCTTCTTTAAAGAAAATTAGCATTTGTTCACTAGTACTTTGTTTTATAGAATTTCTCTTCAGGGTTACTCCATACATATTCCTCTGCCAACCACCTCATTTTTTTTGAGGGATCAGACTATGTAAAAAGAAATCACACTTAATTTTATTTTTAAAAATTATTTTATTTCACTTTATTTATTTATTTATTTAATTTATTTTAATTTGACCAGAGAGAAAGAGAGAAAATGAGAAAGCAGGCAGCCAGGTCCGGGACTGTAATCATGGTCAACCATGTGGGAGTCCAGTGCCCCTAACCATGCCACCTGCCAGACCCTCACACTTAACTTTATATGCTTAAAATTTTGCTTTATATTAGTTTTATAATTTCCCACCTTCAGAATAAACTGAAACACGCTATTAGGAAACACTCTACCAAGATCAAGGCTAATATTGCAGAGTTAACAGGTCTTCATACCAGGGTAACAAGTATTTAAAATGTTCCCTTGGTTTAAATCCTAGGATGAATCTCTTTTTATGCTTTAATAGAATCAAATTAGAAGATGATGACTTAAGCATGTTTCTACTTGCTTATTTGTGGCCTCTTAATGAGTTTACTTTTTAAATGCTAAACATATTCATATATCTTTAGGTCTCTGTTATTGTCTTTCTATTAATACCCCAAAAGATAAATAGCACTTCCTAGTTCATGGTGGAATACTATGCCAATCCTCAAAAGAATTTCATAGTTGAAACTTTTTTTTTTTGCTTGCCAGAGGATGCACGCACTCATTAGAGCATCTTGCAGTGGGGTATGGTCTCCCTTCATTTCTCCAACCTGTCAGGAATTCTAACTGTGGTTGTTGGCCTTGAAGGATTTGGCTCCCTTAAACCATTAGGCCACAGGGCTGGCTCTTTAGTTGAAACATTTTTATCTTTTAAAGGATGCCTAATATTTGTTTGCAAAGATAATTGCTGTTTTGCATCATTGAGATTTGCTGTTTGATATCAGGTGCATTCTTATATAAATAAAAGTGGTTAGGTTATACATTATAGGGTGCATGTGCCCACCATAGAGACAGAAGGAGACAGACAGAAAGTGAGAAATCATCCCCCAGGGGAGCATGACCACACTATAGTCCCTTTTCCTCCATTCTCCTCTGGGGATTTTGGGCATGCACACACACACACCTGGCTTGAGTTTCAGATCCAGGACTCGAACCACAGTTGACCATGTGGGAGTTGAGTGACATAACTATTACACCATCTGCTGGTCCTAGGTTATACGTCACTTTAATGTGCACTTCTTATTTTTTTTTGTTAATGACTTACTTGCTGTTTATTTTATATGTATTTTAGGCTATGGAAATTGTGTTAGACGAAAAGCAATTTTTTTTTTTTATTAATTCACTTTACACCATCACAACACACAAATGAATTTTCCATCCAAAATACACTGTGCATTGGCTCAATCAAGCACATCCACATACATGTTCTCAGCAAATAATTTTCCAATTCTTACGTCCTGCATACCTTGCCCTTTGTCTTGCCATCCCTGATTCCCCATCCCCCACCTTCTGCTATGTCCCATCTTCCTCCCCCATTGTCCCTGGCATC